CTCCCCTGAGCCTCCTTTTCTCCAGGCTAAACAGTCCCAGTTCCCTCAGCCGCTCCTCATAAGACTTGTTCTCCAGACCCCTCACCAGCCTCGTTGCCCTTCTCTGGACACGCTCCAGCACCTCAATGTCCTTCTTGTAGTGAGGGGCCCAAAACTGAACACAGTATTCGAGGTGCGGCCTCACCAGTGCTGAGTACAGGGGCACGATCACTTCCCTACTCCTACTGACATACTGAATGACACAGAGAGTCGATCCTGCACTTGAAGCTAATCTACATGGTCTCTCAAGAACCATCTGAGCTCTGTTTTCAGATGAGTTCACTACTTCAATAGTCTTGTTTTGTTATTTTATGCACAGCAGATTGTGGTTTTTAAAAAACTTGTAGGATGTTAAAAACCCACACATTTGATCAGCATCATAAGAGATTTATTTGCTTACCATTTCGTTGGTATGAATGATATTTCTAGAAGTGCACATCACCATCAGTTTCTCTAAAGTGGTGGTGTAAAAAACAACAATCTTATGATGTATTGGATTTTTATGGGGAACTAGGTTGCATTTAAAATACTGATATCCCCTGCTGGAGTATTTGGTGTGGCTATCATAAGATTTGTGTAAGTCAGAGCTCAGAGTATTCAACTTAAAATAAATGCCAAAGGATTAATCAGATAATATACTACATTTACGTAGTGCTAGTTTACATGGTTCTAGAAGCAAAGTTTGATTGACATTTGTGTTTGTGATACTTCTACAATGTGAAAGACCTGGAAAGGGGACACTTGATGAGAAATGGTGTGTGATTGTCATCTCTCAAGTATAAGAAAACAGTACAGAGTCACAAATACTCAAACAGAAAATGAAAATATTTTAAGTGGTGGTCTGTTCAGAGCTGGGTGCTCTCTACATTCACCTCTAACAGTATGTAAGCATCAGTAGAGAACAATGTTTGATACTCTGATGCTTCATGTATATGTTATGGACCAAACCCATCTGTTTCCTTTTGATTTTTGCAATTTCATATATGGGCTCGTTGCCCATATAAACTGTTTGCTAGGACAGAGTAGTAAATATTTTTCAGGGTTAAAATTTATCTTGCATAAATCTACTGGTGTTTTATTGATGGTAGTTTTAGACTGCTGAGTCTGCATTTATATTCTAGAAGAGATGGTCTTTTTGCTATTTCAAATAAACTGAGCAGTAGAATTGATTAAAACAGAATTGTAGCTGAAACAGATAAGCTAAATAATGGAAACCACTCCAAAGAGCAACATGTCCTTCCCATTGCTACTCTGGAAAGAAATGCCACACATTAAAATATTGAATGCACGTGGTTGTTATGTGTAATTTGGCAACCAGCTAGAATCACTAGACTTATCATATACTCAACTTTAAGATGTTGCCAAGGAGGGACTGATAAAAGGAACAGAAGGATGATGGACGAAGAGGTTGAAAATGGAGATGATATGGTTAAATGCCAGTAAAGAGAATCAGTTTTTCCTAGTCACACATGTGAATTTGACCCCAGCATGTCAGAAATGCCATATATTGGTTATCGCTTTGAAATTTTCCGTGTTCTTAGAGAAAAGCAATGAAAGCTCTTTTCAACTTAAAATAAAAATCTTTGCTCAGGTGTGGTATCCTTCCTCTCTTTAGACCTGTGTTCTCTCCCTACCTCTCTGCTCCATGCTTCCCTTTTTCTTCACTCTTAACTGCTTAGCCCAGCACTGAAAGCCAGTTCATCCTTCTGCCAGTCCCTCTCCCATTCCTGGGCCTGCTGTGCAAGAATTCGTGTTGTCTGTAATGAAAGTAAGTTTCCACATGCCTAGTTCAGCCTTGAGGACCTTCATGATTCCACCAGCTCTAGTCTAGAAGGAAATGATAGACTAGCAAAGGCCTGTCCACTAGAAAGGAATCCTCCTTCTGTGTGGCTGACAGGATGTTTTTGTATACCTAAGGAGTGGGATAATTTCCTAGAAGACTACCAATAATGACATAGAAACCCTTCTTGGATCAGGAACCATTTAGAATGCTATAGTGACCAGAACTCAACTCTTTAGCTGTTGAACAAAATGATAGATATACTAATATTAATATTTCTTAAAAATCAAAAGACATCTGTCAACATTAGGATGCAAAAAAGATTAGTCCTGATCAGAAAAAAATGCAGCATTCATGAATCAGGAAGGCATCATTCTGTAGACTCATGCTTAGGACACCCAGCTCTACAGGTGAGTCACATGTCCTTCATGCCTGTTATCCTGTCAGTTCACTCACCAGATTTGGTGGAGCAAAGATGTGGTTCTTCTCCAGGATTAGTTGCTTTCATGTGCTTTGCAATCTTCACTCCACTTTGAAAGTGGACTGATGTTTAAGTGCTTAGCTGAAAACAAAAATATTCTTTAAGCTGTTCAGACAGACCCACTTTACACAGCTTTTGAGCCTTATTTTAGCTGGTTTTGATTACCACTCCATTTTCTGCACTGTGCAAAAGTTGGAGAGCAATTCCTGAGGACAAATGCTGTATGGCTGATATCCCATATGGTTGCTAGTGTTTGAAGCTTAAAACAACAAATTTTACAAATACTGTGACAGATAATGAAATCATTCAACTGCTTCCTAGATAACATTCCATACATATGGCTTATGTTTTCATCTCACACATAAGGACATAAATGTGAACAGTGCTACATGTACTGGTATTTCATGCCTCTTAGAACACGTCCAGTCTCTGCTGTTGAGCTTATAGCCTACAAAATGGTTGTAAAAAGGTGTCTCAGATGTGTAATATTATTTTTCCTTAAAACATCCCTGTGATGCTCTCCTCCATCAAACTTGCAAACCCAACATTGATGTGAAGACAACATAGATTTCAGAATTGCTGCCTGCCCTGCTTGCAGTTGTGAAGTGCCATGGGTAGCTGGCATCTCTGCCAAACGTTTCAAATGTACGTGAATATGAGGGGCAGTTGATACTGAGATCCTGTTGCTGTGCAGCTTTGTGTATACCTTAAGAAAGGAGGATGGGGTTTTTTCTTATCCAATTAATAGAGGGAAAATAAAATCAAACTTGTATGTCAGTATGCATGGATTTAATGATTAACTTTTTAATGACAGATACTGTGTATCTGCGTTCAATAATATTTCATATCCTGACTTGCTATATGCGTTCATGTATCAGGCAAGTTTTAATAACTGATCTGTTAGGTCAGATGTTTGTACAGATAGGAACAGGCCTTAAGGTCCTTGTCTTCATCTTGGTAGTCAGTGTTCTGGCTCCCTTTGTGTGTTATGTTCGTTTCCTGTCTGTATCAAAGTGGTGAAAAAATGGAAGAATATTTGACAGAAATCACTTCGTGGAATAGACTCTGAAATGCACTTATGTACAGACCTTATCTTTTCCCCTGCCTGCAGTAGTTCAAACCCTTCAATAATTTTTAATTGACAAAGGTAGATATTAATGCCTTTATTAGTGCCTCAGCATTAAATTTTTGTCTTCAGTGTAACTGGGCATCAGTTTCAGAGACAATCTTTGCATTTCTACTATGAAGAACAAACTAGATCATATCCTAGCAGGTATGGCTTTTCATTTGTTAGCAAGATTGATAATTCACTATTCTTTAAGGTGCCCTGTTGCTTTAATTTCCATTAGGACAAAAATATTGTATACCTCATACAAAATGGAAGAGAGAGGAGACAAATGAGGTAAGGAATGTGAGTTAGATCCACCCTGACATATTATACATTGAAGTGATATAAGAAAAATATTGATAAAGGTCTATTAAACATGTACAATTTATTCTATTCACCCTAGTGAAGGAAAATAGCTGAGGGGAAAAAATGTGTTAAAATAGAGAGTAGGAATCCTAAAGCAATTGCTAATTTTGAGTCCATGCTACCACAGAATCCTAGAATCATAGAATATCTCAAGTTGGAAGGGACCCATAAGGATCATATCCTTGCATTTCCTTTTGTGCACAGAACAAATTTAGTTACCTGACCGGTTGTGATCCTGGTAGCTCCTATAGAATTGCACTCCTGCAATGTAAGGAGGAATTTTGCTTTTTACTTTCTGAAAGTCTAGGTATAGTACCTCTAGCACTCACATTTACATATCATGGGACATAAATGCACTTGTAATTTCTCTTCCTGGTTCCAATCTGTAAATTTCTCTGAGGTTGTAATCAAGAACAAAACTATATCAGGAGAAAAGCCACCAGACTGAGCTCAGGAGGCCAGAGGATCTAAAGAGGACAAATATGAATTGAAGAAGGGAATATTAGGAGAGAATAGGACAAAGTAATGTGATAAGAAAACCTCATGTTTAAATGAAAGGGGCTGGAGTGACAGGTGTTACCTGAGGATAACCTCATGTAGCAAAACACATTTTGGTCCTGCAAGTGAGACCAGAGAACAGCAGCAGCAGCAGCAGCCGTCGTTTCTCTGCCGTACTTTGGTTGAGGTTGCAGCATTCACTCAGTTGAGATGGCGGCAGAGGTGTGTGGGCATACATGTGTAAGGCGGGTGAAGGTGGGAAGCAGCAGCAGTGGAGGGGGCAAAGGCAGTTGTTTGCTGCTGAGACGAGGGGTGTGATAGAAGGGCCCGCGGTATGAGGAAGAGCTCCTCCTGCCCCATGGGACCTCTGTTGCTTGAGTGCACTGCATGGGATGAATTTGACCAAAACCCTTCATTGGTAAAAGTGTTTTCTTTGGAGAGGTGTCCTTCTGGCTCTCAGCTGGGCACAGGAGCGCTGGCAGCAGCACCAGCGTCAGCGAGTTCCTCGTTCTCGTCTCCTTGTGCCCCACAAAGTGAGGTGCTGGGCGAGAAGGGAGGTGGTCTGCTGCGCTGGTCCCTCCGCTTGGCCTCCCATGGCTGTGTCCTTCAAAAGAGCAGGACGCTGCGAATACTGAAAAGTGGAAAGGAAGGGAGGAGTTACAGGTGCTGTGGCTGCGGGTGTTCAGGAGCAGGCAGCAGGGCAGGCAGGTGTGCCTGAGGACGGGCCACCTTCTTTCTCATCCAGCCTCTTCCTAACTCAGCTGCATGAGATGTGCAGCAACCGGGCAGCCTTCAAAACCCTGCTGAATGGAACCCCTCAGGAGCTAAGGCACCTTGTCACTCCCCAATGCTCTTGTGCTGCGGCTGTAAGATACGTTCTTCCTTCCTTTGGCTTTTATGCTGTTGTTGCCAAGGATCACCCTTACTCCTCGTCCTCCTTTGCCTGTCCTGTGCTTTCAAATATTGCCCTCAGATGTGGTGTCTGTGGGTCTGTGCTGGCTTCAGCGCAGTGCCAGGGCCACGGGATCTCTGTTGAGCTGAACCATGAGCGGGAGGGTTCCCTGTGCTGAGCGCGAGCTCTTCCCTCTGGGTTATGGTAGATCCTCCCGCCACACGGCTCTGGTCCCTGGCTCCTCATAAGGCTTGAGTGCTTTTTGAGAAGGCAGTATTGCATGCTCTGTCTGCCAGAGGGTTTGGGCTGTTTGAATTTTAGGTGGAGGTGGTGTTTGCTGTACCTCGCTCGTACTATTCAGGGTCTCACCTTTTTCCTGCACATAACAACTCAAATCCCTTGTTCACTTTAGCAATCAGTAGCGTGTGTGTGATCAGCAAGTCTGAGTTGAATTTCTTCTCCAAATAGCTGGAAACTAATTTGGGGATAAAATGTCTCATCTTCCAACCTAGAAACGGGAGAAAGCACCCGCAGTGAATAATCAGAGAAATGCTGTTTTGGTAAGGTAATGTTGCTGTGAGGGTCAGGACGGAGTGACCAGTACTGGTGCCTTTATCTTGTAAGAAATTTTCCTCTCCTTGGGAGGAGAGTGGGTTAGCGTAGGCAGTTGTGTGCATTGAACTGTATGAAACAGTTACAGGTTTATTAGGATGTTTCATGCCTATATATACAGTGGAAATCTACCGCTCCTGTTTAGCTGTGTTTTTCTTGAAAACCCTCTCAAAGAGGTTTCCTGGGACATTGCCAAGCTTGAGATATTCTTGATGACCAAGAGGTTAGTGAATAACGACTATGAGGAAAAGTGTCTTTTGTCCTACAGCTGAGGACATTGCTCAGATGGGAAAACTCATATTCAAGGGGAGAGCTATTCATATGCCCTGAAGGGTACCTGTTCCACAGACTTTTGGAAATTACCGTGAAAGGAAAAGGCTGAAAAGTCTAAAATGTTTTCCTAAGTTTCATACCTCCGACCAGAGTCCCCTTCCATGTATGCCCAGACAGCAGAAGCATAGGATCAACGGAAATCGCTGAACCAGAAGCTGGTACCCCAACCATCACGCAGATGCCAGGGTTCATATTGCAGGAAGCCAGGGCAGCAGTCTGATGGGACAGGCAGGTGAATTAGAGAACGCGCTGATGAATTTGTCAGAAAAGTGTTCTTTCTGTGCAGTCATCTGCATCTCCCTGGTAATCTGAAAACACATACTCCCTTGTGCAGCAGATATGGAGAGCTCAGTGCCTGTTTTAAGACTTATACATCATTTTCCCCCAAAGCCAATAGACTGCCTTTCTGGGCAAAGATGTGCCCAGCAGTGCAGGCAGCAGGCAAGGAACTGCCCACCGGGGTGAATTTTGCCCTGACAGGAACCTGTGAATGAGCTGGGAGGGAGGACACGTGCTGAAATGCCACCTACCATGGTATCTGCATGCCCGATGACCTCAAAGGAGTAGTCCACGCCATAGCCAGTCATCTCAGTGAGCACCTCCTCAATGGGCTTCTTGAAGTCCCGAGGACTGATGCTGTTGGTGGCTCCCAGCTCCTTGGCCCTGGCAAACTTGTCCTTGTTGATATCAACAGCAATGATGCAGGAGGCTCCAGCCGCCTTGCAGCCCATGACAAAAGAGAGGCCAACTCCTCCGATGCCAAAGACGGTGCAGGTGGGAGCCTGTTTTTACCTGCACAATATGGGGCCCTGTGAGTCTGTAGGGTGAGCAGAAGGTTTCTGTTGCACAGGGTTGGTGAGGGTGTGAGGGCAGCCATGGGATGCTTGTGCTTGACACGCTTGAATACCAACCTTGGTGGTGTTGATGGCAGTCCCATAGCATGTGGAAAACCCACAGCCGAGCAAGCAGACTTTGTCCAGAGGTGCAGCAGCATCTATCTTGGCAACGGCATACTCCGGGATCACAGTGTATTCTGCAAAGGTGCTGACCCACAGGAAGTGGTGGATCCGTTTCCCTTTGCAAGTGAACTGGCTGGTCTTGTCAGGCAGCAGGTTTTGTGGTTCAGAGACACAGTTGGGAGGCGCATGCATTTGTTTTTCATCAAGTAAAGCACCCGTGGGGGTGTCAGACTTGTTGAGAGAGGCGACCCCATTTAGGTGTAGGGGAAGGTGAAGCAAACTCACTGGGACTCCAGGCAGTAGTTGGATTCGGGATTCAGGCAGAAGCTGCATTCCCCGCACTGTGGAAGGCAAAGGGGGATGACTTTGTCACCTGGAATAATGCACATCCCATGTTAGGTGCCTCTCTCTGGGCAGGCCCTGAAGGTGCTGCCCAGCAGCACCTGGTTGGAGAGCTGAATCCTGGGTGTGTATTTGTGTGTGTGTGTGTGTTATCTGGTTTCACAGAGGTCACCCCTTCTCCAACACTTTTCACAATCCCAGCTCCTTCATGGCCTGGGATAACTGGGAAATCTGCATTGGGAAGGCAACCTTCCAAAAGGTGTTCATCTGTGCAACAGATGCCAGTGGCCACAATCTGTTTGGAGAGCAAAGAGTAGATGATCTGGCCTCTGTTTAACTCAGTTTGTGGAAGTAATTTTCGCAGGGCTGTTACAATTCCCACCACAATCGGCGCTGCCACCCCATGCCAGTACACTGTGCCCAGGCCAGGCTTTCCCCTTCTGCTCATGCTGAATGCTTCATGTGGCTTTCCTCTGCACTGTGCTGTAGGGGGTGGGGATTGTAGGTTTGTACAGTGTCGCTGGCTCCCAGAGTTCTGGGAATGGAAAATCCCAGGTGGTCATGTCTGAAACAGCCTGACGTAACTTAGCAGGGAGAGCAAAGTGTTGTGCTGTGCGCAGGTGTGCCACAAAGTTTGGTAAACCAGTGAAGACTGCCCTTTTCTGATGAACTGAACAGGGTCACTGCCAAGAGCCATGGGAGATGCTTGGGATGGGTAGTTCAAAGGCATTACACGGCCACTAGTGTGTTGCAGCAGCCCACTGTCTCAGAGCCCTGCTGTGCACAGTCCTGTGCTTTTATCCACAAGCTGGTGTCTCTCAACTGAAAGCCTGTTTTTTCCAACAGAAGTGCAAAATTTTGAGTGTCAAATATGATCTGATTTTCTTGTTGTCCAGGATCTAGTGTCAGTGCTGAAGGATGAGGTTCTCTATAACATACCACTGCCTTAACTTTGATGGTGCAGTGAAATCTGCAGCTAAACTATGTGTAAGGTCAAGAAGCATCATAAGCTGTGAACATTTATACGGAGGCTTTTCTTCATATGGTCAGCTGGGGAGAGAAAGAGGGCAAAAAATACCTTCACTGGTGCTGAGATATTGCTACCAATAGGCATTTTCTGGTGTGGAGCAGACGTTTGCATGTTCTAAAGCAGTTTGCACTTAGTGAGGGTATTAAGTAAGTTAAGTAAGTAAGTTAATTAAGAGTATTAAGTATTGAGTAAGTCTTCTCCTTAAAAAAACTACAGTCCAAGAGGTGGCCACTATAAGTGCTTTGCAGTCCTCAGTGAAGCTGAAAGGGAAAATGCATCTCCCCAGTTTGGGTTCAGTTAGCTGGGGGCTGCTGCATTTTATCACCCAGTGCTCCTGAGTGTCTGGTTATGCCACACAGGAGCCTGATCCGAAGGGGATCGGGAACTGGACTGCTTGGCACGTTTTTCTTCACTATTCAGTGGTTGTCAGGTAGCATCAACTGTGAACATTTTAACCTGGAATTTTTTTCATTTTTTTTTGTTTTGTTCACGTAGCACTTCCTCAGCTCTGCCCCCCGCCTCCCCGATCTCTTCCAGGAAAGGCATGGAAAATGGTATCATGAGGGAGCAGCCACAGCAGGGCTGCTGCCCCTGGTGGGAAGAGGCAGGAGCCAAGGGTGACCACAGGGCAGGCAGTGCCCTCAGGGATTGGGACCCGGTCCCACAGCACCTGAAGGCAGTGGGCAGAGCTGAGTGCTGGTAACAGGGTTCGTAGACAGCCCCAGGCCAGGCCAGTGATAAACCAGGGGCAGGAGGTCCAGGCAGAGTGACAGGAGACAGAGCTGGAGGTGGGGCTGCAGGCAAGGCCACAGTCTGGATCCCAGGGTTCTGTCCAGGAGAGAGGGCTGGAGACAGGAATTCCTACACCACAGCTTAGGCAAGGACTAATCTGAAAGGGAGCCCCTGGCAGATGGTGCATGAGTGGGGGTTCCAGCTAAGGCTGCTCTGGACAATTAAAGCCTATTGGTGGACACAGATCCCTGACAGGTATATTCAAGGTGTAGCCACAAGAAGAGCAATTCCCACAAGGCAGAAAAAAGAAGTGAAACATGTTTTTACCTTGACATGGACTTCACCCGCCTTTGGAGGTGCAACCTCCATCTCCTCAACAGAGGGTGGTTTGCCCACGGCCCAGGCAACAGCAGCTCCGCATCTGATAACCTGGAAGCAACAGAGGGGATTACGCTGCATGGGAATGTTTGCCTTTGGCGCACAGTCGGGGACGGTCATCCTACAATCACCTAAAACAGAGGTGCAGAAACTCGGTAGTGCTCAGCTGTACGCGAAGCCAAGTGATGTTCAATAAACACTGGCCTAGTTTAAGATCTGAGGAAACACCATTTGTGCTTTGTCACACAAAGAGTATGAGGTACCCTTAGGAAATTATTGGGTTTTTAATGGCTTTTGTGCATTTTTCATAATGTCGTCATATGCTAACGGACAGATTGTTCTCTGATGGGGAGTGTGGCCCCTACGTAGTGGAAATGCCTATTAAGAGCTTTGCTGTTGGTCTTGTACAATACTGAGTGAAAGGTACCTAAGAGGGGTTAAGAGATGGTCCCCATCTGACTGGCAACTGGCTAATTTTTTCCCTTGCCAAAGGGATGATTTGTGTGTGGCATCTCCCAAACCTTGAGCTGATCAACCTAAGGCTGGTTTGATGTCAGCAAAATTCAGTTCGCAGCTTGAAAAGGGTATTGCCAGGGACAAGGCTGAATGCAAGAGATGAGTGGCTGCAAGACTGCACCTCTGAAGAGCTATGTTTCCCTGCCAAAGCGGGAGCGCAGGGCAGGGTTGAGCAGGAGGAGGGTGTTTTTCACAGCAGTACAATTTGATATTTTCATTCCTGAGCTGCTGGGCAGAACAGGAGAGGAATGCATTACCTAACACAGGTACCGAAATGTGCAGTTGTATGAAAGCAGAAGCTTGTGTAATTCAAAGGGGTTTGGATGAGTTGGGGGAGTAAGGTCAGAGGAAAGAGGGCACGCAGTAGAGGTGCGCAGGCTGAGCCATTTGCAGAATATTTCCCCAAGAGCTGGGCACCTCAGAGAGGAAGACAGGAAATGCGTTGTCCTTACTTTTCCAGAAGTGGCCATGGGGTCTTAGCAGAGCTGTTGCTGTCACTGCAGCAGGCTGGAGGGAAGCTGCCACCCGTCTGGCCGAAGCCCCGTGTTGTGAAATGGCCCAGCCGTGGAGCTGGAGTACTCCTGGGCACCTGCTGGCCACAGCCGAAGGGGGAGGCAGGGAGCGTGGAGGGAGTCCTGGTGTGGGACCGTTGCTGGAGAGCGGGGAGTGGTGGTTACTCTGTGTCCGATGCCGGATGCTGAGGAGCACAGTGAGTGTTGAGTGGAGGAGCTGGATAGCGGCAGGGAGATGCTGATGGGCAGCAGTCAATGCTCCATGGGGAGTGGGCAGAAGTCCTCCGGGGAGGCTTTTACTGGTGGCTCTGGCTTTGGGCCATGCCCTGCCCTCCCTGCCTGAAAGGCACTGAGAGCTCAGCAAGATTTTTCTCCCCCGCTTGCTTCCAGCAGGTGTGGAGAGAGGAGGTTTGCTCCTCGGAGTCCCCTTGTTGCCAAGGGGTAGCATTTGACTTGGCAGTGGTTCACGCCAAGGTGTTTGCAAAAGGATTAAAAATTAAAAAAAGAGAAAAAAAAGACAGTGAAAACATGGTATGGTGCACAAACGTGCATGTCCTTTTGGAGTGGTGCTTAACTGTCTGTGGTGTTGCAGCTATTGTCACCTGGGTAGTAAGGGGAGAATGTGTCAGGCGGGGGGGGGGCTTTTCCAAGGACACGTTTATTTCACTCCTGTGTAACCAGTTTTGCGAGGGGGTTCACTCCCCCGGGCTCTCCTGGTTCCCACAGAGCTGTTTTCTGCTGGGTCATTGGGCGAGGTGATTTATAGGAGATAGGATGAGCCAGATCTTGTTGGAGGTCCAGGCTAAGATGAGCACCCCTGTGTGACCCTCAGGTTTGGGAACTGCTTCTGCACTTGGGAAGATGTCAGCCCCAGGTTTATGTGCTCAGGGGACTGCCTGGAGAGGTTTGTGTTGGTGCTTGCTACTGCATGTCCCAGCCCTGTTTCATGGGGCGAGGGGGAAGGTCAGCAGCAGAAGCAGCACTTGATGTTGGCAGGCTGAACCCCCAGCTCCCAAATCCCCCGAACCCGTCTCCAGCTTCACCAATGCAGACCGGCAGCGCTACCGTGCCCCAGCAGCTGGCTGAACTTCTTGCCCAGGGCATGGTGGCCCTGTGATGTGACAGTGTCTCCAGCCACGTGGAAGTGCTGCTGGGCAGCCTGTTCCCCAGCCCTGCCGGTCAAGCCCAACCTCTAGGTGATGATGGCCAGGTGCTGCTGCGCTCCTGTCATGGAGGTGAGCATCTGGCACTAGAGCGGCCATGCACTTGTGGATCATTTTGATCTGTATTTCAGGTGCACAGGGATGTTTAGCAGTTTTTCCCAGGAAACTTCTACTTTTTCACAGGTTTCTTTGTGCACCTTTGGTAGCCTCCATCAGACTGTGAGCACTGGTGATGTATAATTTCCCAGGAATAAGGCTTTTCAGAATGAAGTTTTTAAGGTTTTCAATATTCAGCCTGGTCTGCCTGCTGCATTAAAAAACCCCCAAATCTATCATGACTTGTGGTATGATTTATATATCTTGCAAGAGAAAAATTTGTTTCACTTGTCCTGAGCAGCCAAAGATGTGACAGCCCTTGAACAAAACATTGGCCTGTCATCTCCCAATTATCTGTGCAGCACAGTAGTTTTGATTACTGGGATCCGTGCTGTCCATCTGATAACCTGGAAGCAATAGAGGGGATTAAGCTGCGTGGGAACGATCGTTTGCCCGTGATGCAAGGCCAGGGAGAGTGAGCTTACAAGCATGTAAGAACAGAGCAGTACCAGTGCCTGTCTCTGCACATTGCGGCACGTGCTGCTGGAGCTACACCACTGTCCTGTGCTGTTTCCTGGGGGACTTGCTGGGTGGGTGGGATGTGGTGGGGGAGCAGAAACACAGTAGTGCTCAGCTGTACGTGAAGCCAAGTGATGTTCGATAAATGCTGGCATAGTTTAAGGTCTGAGGACACACTATTTGTGCTTTGTCAGACAAAGTTTGTCTCTTGGGAAATTATTGGATTTTTCATGGCTTTTGTGGATTTTTCATAGTGTCGTCATGTGCTAATGGACAGATTGTGCCCTGATAGGGAGTGTGGACCCTGCTCATTCACAGGAAAGCACCAAAATGGAGGCTCACACAGAGCCGCTGCATGTGACCCTGAACCTACGTGGAGTATCTCAGCGTCAGAGAGCCTTTGGGAAGGTCTGTCAGAAACATGCTGCCCAGAGCTGCACAGTCACACGAACAAATTAATCTTCAGCTGAGTGTGAATGGGGATCTGCAGGGAGAAACACTCTAGGACAGTATTATTGGTCGTCCCCAGTCAGAAGCCACTTCATTCTTCCATGTGAAGACAGAACTAGATTGCTGCCTTATAAAATGTCCCTAGTAAGAATGATTTCATGGGTTTATTGTTTTGGACCCCAGCAACTATCCTAATAAAAGTAACAGCAGGTGTTTACTACGCTTGGCAGATTACAACAGAAATGTGCTTTGCATGATCCTGAAGAGGACAGAAGCGAGGAGGTTCGCTGTACTTTATTCCCTAGCTCTATTTTTTTTTTTTTCTTCTACTCTGAAGACTGCTGTTATATTCTCTACCCTTCATGCAATAGGGAATGCCTTGGGAAAAAAACATGTATCTGGCATATGGAGGATACTTTACCGCTCTGTACTCCTTTCTGTCCTCACAAGCTAGGTTTAAACAAGCCTTCTGTGGTTAAGTCATGAGTTAAACATACCTTAGCTGGTACAATAAACTAGCTTGGCCTCCACAGAAAACATTTTGTTAGAATACTCTGAGAATTGAGATATTATTATGCTCTTGTTTCTACTGAGTCCATGTTACTAGAGATGAGATCAGTTAAGTGGAATTAAACCCCCTCTCCTTCTATTTTGAATAGCGAGCCAGTTCACACTGTTGGTTCACACACAACCTGCCTTGAAAGAGATCAGAACTCTTCAGGTGAACTGCACCTGAAAAGAATTATTTTATGGTCCAGAAAAAATCTTCAGACCTCACTGCACAGGTAACCCCACAGAAACAAATGACTCAAGTTTGGGTCTTAATTGCTTTGTAAACTGAGTTTATTATACATACACGTGTTTAAGGATCTTCTTCTGTTAAAGTCTAATCTCTTGGTAAACTTATCCTCAAATCGTTAACCTAGCTGGGCTGCTCAAGGGCTCTTTCTGCTGACACAAACAAGTAAGTCATCATTAGCACACAGTCCCCTTACTTCACAGGCTCTTCTACTCAGCTACCGTGCATGCGAATGCCTGCAAGCTCTGATTAGTACTTTCAAAAGATAAGTCAACGTTGACCATGTTTGCCGAGATAGAAATAGCCTCTGTTCCTGTTTCCATGTTACAAACGCAGAAAGCAGTGAGATGCTTTATGTTTGATTTCTTGCAAACTGTTACCAGTTTCTTCCCATTTACTCTGTATTCACATGTAAAGGTTAAGAAACCTCCCCTTTATTTAATGGAAACAAATAATACTTGATGCACATTCCTATTTCTTCACGTTGTTTCCCAAGCATCAGCTGCACTTGTATAAATTGGCCAAAGATCTAAAACCATACTGATAAAACAACTAAAACATCCCCAAGGAAGAGGTACAAAGGTAAAAAAAAACCAAACCACAACACAGAGCAACACCACAGCAGTTTTATATAAAATGCTTGGAAGCGTTAATTTGGTAAAATATCCAGTGGTGAGACATTCTCCGGTACCTAAGTCTATGATTTACTGAAATTATTAATTCAAACACATGGTCACCATAAATTTTAATCTCTGCAGTAATTTCCTTGCCTACCAGGTAATGGAATGCTAAAATCATTCAGGATGGATACATAGTTCTGACCTAGAGCTTTACTGTGCTGAGCTGCATGCACAAATCTGTTAAGCTTGCGGTGCTATGAAGGCCCAAAGAAACAGTTTCCTTCATTTTCCTTTTATTAAAAGATAGCATATTAAAAGCCATTTTAAAAAAATCCAAACCTTTCATAACACCTGTGACAGCAGCAAGTCCTGTAATTCATAACTGGCTATTAAAAGAAAATTGCAGCACAATACAGAGGATTTAAAGCAAGAATCAGGAGAAAGGCAGGAGGAAAAAGATTATTTAATTTATAAACACTGTGCTTGAAGTCTGGGGTTTAAGCTTGATCCTTGTATTCAAGGGTGGTGGTGGTGGTAGACCTTTCAGAAACATCTTGGTTTGTATTTCATATCAGTTGTATTGGAGGATACTGAAGTTCGTACTGGTGCTGAGCCATCTGCTGCTTAACAGTTGGGAATCCTAAAACACCAGGACACTGCGAATACTGCAACATAAAATGACAAGTTAGTGACTGTGGAAAAGCCCCTGGGCTAACATCAGCAAAACACTGCTGTTTTCTCTGGAAATCTAGGCTATTGCCGTCAACCGAGGTACTCCCTCCCTGCCCCCTCCAGCCCCAGCTTGCAGCTAAATGGCAGAGCAGATGTGCAAACCTTGCTGCAGATGCAGAGAACAAAATTCATGCAGGACTGCAAAGCCTTCACTCATGAAGCCCAGGGCTCCTGGCAATTAATCACCAAATATAGCCTGGGAAGTCCTTGGAGGGGGGCTTAGGCACATCTTTCCAGTTACAAATGGCTTTAAGGGTAACCTCTGAATGGTACAGCTTATTCGGGGCTGAAACACTGAAGTGTTTCACTTAATAAAAATGGTCAGCTGCAACATGCCTCTGTCTTCAGGCTGACTGTCTGTATTTTAGCAAAGCTGATGGCGTCTCTGTCCTCACCACTTTCCCCTGTTTGTTAGACTAAAATCTAAAACTAACATTTACAGCACATCTAAAATAAGGACAGTCAAAAAATGAAGTGCGTGCTGCATAGTTAGAACCTGAGAACAAACCTCAGGGGCTAAATTCTTCTGTTACACGCTTTTTATATTTAGAGCAAGTAACACCTAAAATAACTGCTAGC